AAATGTTATCTGAACATATTTTTCACACAGAGAGTTAGTTTACTAGTCATCCTTACCCTTATGAATTTGCTACCATCATATGTATAAATTCACTGTGTTGTTCTATCTTGTATTTTTGTCTCTAGTCCATCCTTGTTTTCAAACGAAATCTGAAATCTATCTCCTTCTTGTTTTATCAAATTATAATTAGTTAGCCTCTTTTAGAAACACTGAATAACTTGTCTACTCACGTCATCTTTGAAATTATTTTGCTAATACTTTCCATCTATGAGTGGACATCACTGTAAGAAAAGAATGTTCAGACGCCATTTCATAACTTATAATTTCTTTTTTTTAGGATATACGCACAGTTGAAGACAGTGAATCCACGAAGTGAAACGAGCTCGTATTCTCCTGACTGCAAATATGTCTTCTTTCTTTGTCGATTAAAACTGATCAGGGGGAAGCAGTTATATAAACCAGTTGTCCAGTGGTTTTCACTTCAGAGATTGACTTGCAACCAGAGAATAATCTCGTTGACTTAGAATATGCAGTTGATATAGTTCTCCTTCCTACGTGGACACGCTGAAAAAATACGGAGTCTTCTGAACACCTTCGGCTTTAATCTTCGAATGCTTGGCATGCGATTCGCTCCCTTTGTGAAATGTAAGATGATGTTACTGGACTGGGCTACACTGACTAACTCTTAGTTTAGAAATAGGGAGTGAAGTTGAAGGTAGAGCACGTTGACCGCTTCACTTATGTGGGAAGTACCATCACCCCGAAAGGGTTGACCTCTGACGAAATCTCAGCACGGATACAGAAACCTAGTTCTGCATGTGCCAGTTTACGCCATCTCTGGCGTAGACGTGATATCCGGCTGGCTGTCGATCAAAGGGCGTGTGTACTGCTCAGCAGTCCACTCCGTCCTCCCTAATGGCTGTGATTTAGACATGGCCATTGAGAGTGGAAGACATGAAAAGGTCGGCTAGCTGTCTTTGATTATAAGTGCCTGCCTTCTATCTCCCGTGTGAAGTGGTATATAGAGTGAGCAATATTGAGGTTGGGCGTCGGTCAAGTAGTAGGTAAGGAGGGGAAATCAATTGAAGAGGCTGTGAAATTACATCGACTGAGATGGTTAGGACTTGTGTTACGCATTTCTAGTCATTGCCTTCCTCGATAATGGGCAATGTTAGCTGACATAGGGTCAGGTTGGAAAAGAGCTAGCGCGGTCAAACCAAAACATGTCACCAGTCAGTTAAATCCATAACAGTTATATTAAGCCAGCCAATCACGTAGGAAGGTGTTAACTCCTTGACTGGTTGAGGTCCTCAGGACGGTAAAAACCAATAAAGACTTGAGACAATTGGTGATATGGCTCAATGGCGCAGACAGATCCACACCTTATAACTTATGATTTCCAATGAAACTATATTGTCCTTCGATATTACTATTCCTTTGTCTCACACCTCTGTTTACTGTCTATTTTGCTTTTCTTTTTACTTTCTTTTCTTGATTTGTGTGCTACATGGAGTGCGGCGACTTGAACTGCCGAACATCGATGCAAGGTTCTATGTCGAAAACAGACAGACAGTTCTTGGGTTTCAACGACTCTCGAATTGAAGTCATAGTTCGTCATGAATCTTGAAAACGAATGTTTGAACGATGGGACGTCTATCGTCCATATATCGTTGTATGTAACCACTTCACATTACTTCGCTATATGGGAATAATGTAGGCTGATGATGTCTATAGATGGTGAAACACGAAAGCCATTAGTCAATGTGTGTACACGTTCTATTGTATTCTGTTGATTGAAATATATGAAAGTAATTTTGCAATATTCCTTAACATTATTTTATCTATAAAATTTCTAGCTTCCATGATTTTTGTATACGAGGTTGGTGTATCATCGGGAAGAAAGATACCTGTCCATATTGTAATGAGAAGGTGAACTTGAAGCAAACATTTACAAATCCGTATCCTTGTTTTTTGTTATTCTGACGTCTTATCTGATGTCTTTCTATCTACTTACTGTTTATTATTTCAGTAGTATATTTTTACAGGTGTGGTACATCATTCATTCTCCTCTGTGTATATGCTAAACGAAATGTAATCACATTTAATTCACAATTTAGGCTTTCCTGTTGATTGATTGGACCGAAGTGCTCGACATTAGGATGAAATGTTGGTGGCTCCTTGTACAGATAGATACCTCGACTATGTCTGATTATTTAACTTGGAGTAAATTTGGTTGATTGTAACTAGCAGTGGAATCCAGGGAAGGCGTATTCCGTCCTATTCTGTCAGTGGGACTCGTCAGCTAGCAGCTGGATGTACCTGCATTCCTCAGTGAGTCAATGATGGTGTTCCCAGTCAGACTCGAACCCACTACCCATAATTTCAGACGTCAAAGCGTCATTAACTAGACCAGTGAAGTCATGAGGGCCACCACCTCTTGTGCAATGGATACGAATGATTATTTAATTCATAAGAGGTGACTCTCGTAGCCTGAGTGGTGTAGTGGATAACACACCTTGGCGTTTGAAACTACGGGTATTGGGTTCGAGCCGGAGTGGGAACAGCATCACTGACTCACTGGAGAACACAGGTGCACCCAGTTGATGAGTCCAAAATGGGTGGGTGAATTGCGCATTGTGGATTCCACACAGCTAGTCACCATCTACCAATTTACTTCAAAATATAAATAGTTGCGTCATCCTGGAGAAAGTGGAAACATGGTTGGATGCAGAACTAACTCCGCTTTGAACAAGCTGAGGGTTGAGGAAAAGCAAATTATGTTTGAATTAGAAATCGCAACCCTACGAATCGTCATCGAAGAGAGCATAGAATGGCAGTCCACACTGTGTATGCCTCAACTTCACTGACTTTGAAAAGGGCACTTCGATAACTAGCGTTGATCGTGAAGTGATTTTGAAACTAACTTCAACATTACCGAAAAGCGGAGGATTTGGACTTCGCCAGTGATGATATATGTCTGGTTTCCTACAAACTGGAAGATATTCATTTGAAAAGCAACAAGTTGGCAGAAGAAGCATCCAGAGAAGATAGGACTTCAGGTGAACTTAGAGAAAACAGAGGTGATGAAGATTCATGGCCAACAGTGACAGCAACAACAACAGACCACAATCAGCCTGCATGAAGGGGAGGAATCTGAAAGAAGCAGCCTCCTCTACCCACCTACCGACCTGGGAAGCATCGTTTCAACTACAGACATACGGAGCTGATGAGGATATGAAAGCAAGGATCGCGGAAGCAAGACAAGGTTTCATTACTGTCAAGTCTGTTTGGAGATCGACAGCACTTCTCAACACGAAATGGAATAAAATGCGATATTCATCTCCAATGTGAAGTCCGTCAGTGCTACTTGCTGTACGGATCAGAGACTTGGCCAGAGCGTCACGAAGGCCACTTCGAACAAACTACAGACCTTCATCAACAGCTGTCGTCGCTCAATTCTACTGAAGATCAGATGGACGGCCAGAAAAGATCACCAACACGGATCTCTGCCAATGAACGAACCAACCAGCCCATTAGGAACCGATTGTGCAACAAATATCCATGCAGGAATAAATGCAGTTAGGTGTATTGGATTGGCCATACTGTGAGAAAACAAACCACCAAGTGAGTGACATCACACTCTCAGCCATCACTCGAGTGGAACCTGAATGGGAAGCGACGAGTTGGTCGTCAGTGCGAAGGTGACATGGAGGAGGAGGCTGATGGGTAGAGGAGATGAAAGCATGTGTGCAGACATGGAGCCAGGTGATGAAAACGTTGGCAGAGAACCCAGGAAGCAATGGAGACGTTCGGCTGAAGCCCTATGTTCCTCTGGGAATTAAACGAAACAACAATATAATAATGATAATTATATGGGGATACCGTGTGACTCACAACGAAACACTCAGTGAAGCCTTTTTAGTGAGGACAGCAGAAACACAGGGTTACCTGCTTCTATCAATGATGATATTCCTGATTGTGGTGAACTGAATCATACCGCCATTCGTGGGGAGCGAGAAGGCGGTGAAGACAGGATTTCAAGCAGACATAGAGAAGACAGAGGTAGGTGATGAAGACACCACGACTAATCATCGTCGTCAACACAAGAAATTCGATGGAAGTCACTTCTTTCACACTTATCTAATGCTCAGTCAGCATTGTTTCAATTCACCTTCAGGCCGAATTTGATGAGAGCGTGGTAGCCAAAGAAAGCCTCAGGCAGGATCGATGAAGACAACAGACATTATTATTATTATTACTATTTCCGAAATCAGTGTAATATGTGAAGAGAAATATGCTGTCCTCAGTGCATAATGAACAAGATTCATATATATATTCAACAGTTATGCGTCATGTCGGTGCTTCGGCAAACCAGAAGGCATCAGAGACTTGGTGTACACGTCTTTAGTAAAAGCATTTCCAAACAGCGCCTACTGCAGACTCTTGATCAACAAATATCCTAACTGGCTTGATGGAGAGGAGGAAATGACTGATCGGGCTATAGGGGAACTCTGACAAGAACTTTACTAATGAATACTTCACAAACCTATGCTGAGGGTGTTGGGGGTAGATATGGGGATGAATCGGCTGATACATACTGAGGAAAGCGTCAGGTGACATCTAACGTCAAGTGGACTGTCGAGTGGACAGAACGAGTGGGGCAACCGAGGGTGACATGAAGGAGATAAGAGTTTATTAGCAATTGTAGAGGCAGGTAAAGAGGACCACTCGGAACCTGAAGAAATAATAATGACGATTATAGTTTTACAGGTTAAAATTCAGTCGTCAATATGATAGATAATAATAATAATAATATTAATAATAATAAGTTGAATACTCCTCAGGAATAGGCTGACTTCAGCTAGCGGTTGTCAAAGTGGTAAGGTGTGGACTCTTTCTTTGTTTGTTTTAAATTGCTTCTACATTTGCACGCTAAACTTCCTTAATTGTCTTTCTCTGAACAACAACAACAACAACTCCTACACTGCTGCTCCTTCTAGATGGGATAAACCGCATATTTTATACGGGAATCTATTGGATTGGGTTCGTTATCTAGTTGCTTGGCAACCTGTGATATTAGGCTTTGTTCAACTTGTGAACACTGCTCTAGGTTTACAATGAAGAAAAAGCAGAAGAAGAAGGTGGAGGAGGTGGCGAAGAGTCAGCTGCATCAATCACAATCATAAGAAGAACAAACTAACTAGTCTGGTACACCAGTGCGTGTGTCTGTCGGTCTGTCTGTCTGTCTGTGTGTGTGTGTGTGTGTGTATAGTCATATTTCTCGCGAATGCACTTTGTCCAATTACTCTACCTACCTACCTATCTAATTAATCCATCCAGGGTATTCTAGATGATTATTACTCACAATGTATTTATAATTTATGAATAATATAAGCAGGAATATAAGGTGGTGTACTGAGTGGAAGAGTGAGTGATATTTGTCTTCTTGATTGATCCTCTTTCCTAATTGAGCACAGTTTTGCATGTGTATATGCCTCATCAGACTGGGATACATGTGGAGAGGAGAATAACAGGAAGAAGAAGAGGAAGGCGAAGACGAATCGCGGAAGTGTCATGAAGTGTCATATTCGTTAATAAACGGCCATTCTAACTAACTAATGTCACACACAACACTGTCTATCTGGATATATTTGATGATGAGTGTTCAACGGTTTCGAAAGATCAGCCAAGGAAACCGAAGCCAATGGTACATAGAATGTCATGTCAAGTATCCATCTCATTCCTGATGAGCTGGTTGGCTTGATAACATGTCAGTTTCCCAGAGAAAAAATTATTCTGTGTAGAAAACGTCCTACAAAGCCGCGGTACTCTTTCGCTTCAGTGAATTTAGGGATGTATGTATATATGCTGATCACTTTCTTTTTAGTTATTTGGAATGCTGCGTGAAAAACTGGGGCTTGCACAAAAACCCCAAATGATGAGATAAAACAGATAGAAGAAGGTTTTCATCATTAAATGCAAAACAGAGACAGTAAAAATAGAGATATAAGGCAAAGAGAATAGTAATATCGAAGAACTATTTCGGTTTTTCTTGGCTATTATAAGTCACAAGGAGTGGATGCATCTGCACCAGCCATCCATTGAGAACGAGGATTTTGAGCCAGCCTTCATTGGTTTTTAGCGTCCCAAGGACCCCAACCATTCAGGAAGTCTACACATTCCTACATGGCTTAAACTAATTGTTATGGATTTCATTGACTGATGGAGTTCATGTTGTGATTTGACCAACACCACCACTAACAGCTCTTTTCCAACCTGATTCGATGTCAGGGTAGAAGGCTCGCCAACTAAGCATGCACACTGTGTTCAGTTGTTCGCCGTATAATTAATTCCCAACCGATTCACTTATTATAAACCTACCTGGTAGTAATCCCGATGAAAAGCGAAGGTTGCACATGTGAGTGAGTCTAGTGTGACTACTACACACTCCACTCCACTCCACGTAAGAGAATAAACATCACTACTGTCCTAAAAGAAGAAACTTGAAAGCTCCACCATATGGAGGGAGTGCCCTTCCAATGTGTCCAGACTTGGTGAGTGAGTGAGTGAGTGAGTAAAAAAACGTTTTAAATTAGATCAAGAATCAAGAAGACAAATATTACTCTTTCATTCAGTACACCACCTTATTTTGCTGCTTATATTATTCATAAAACATAAATAAGTACATTGTGAGTAGTAGTAATCAATAATCGGTGGGGGTAGGGGGAAGGGGGGTTGGTGTGTGGCGGCGTAGTCCCAACTGTGTAGTTCGATTATTTGTGTTTGGTCTTCTCTTTGTCGTAGCATAGATTCTGTTGGCCTCTGTGAATTTCTTCTTCTGATGAAGGTACTTTATGTACACTACAGTTGTTGGCGTGATACAAACCGCAGAACGTTAATGGATTTCGTGAAAGAAATTGTTGATTGGCATGAACCCATCAAGTCAGGAATTGTCGCGGCTGTTGGGCTGACATCCCTTTTGAGTCTCTCATGCATGTCCTTGATTTCTTTTGGTTTCTTTGTCACTTACACCGGGATTTCGTTAATATGCTGCACTACGGCTTGCAAGCTTTTTATAATTTTATTACGCATCCATTCAAATCAAATCACATCAGGATTCATGGAATAATCCATTTAAAAGTAAGTATTGGCTTGAACTGGGACACCAAGTAAACTTAAAGAAAATAATTGGCGAGCGTGTCGCAGCCTTATTGAGAAGAAAAATTGTCCGAAAAGTTGAATTATTTCACGTTGCGTCGTATTTTGGTTCCTATGGTTATCAGGGTTAGCAAATTAAACCAAGCACCTGCTACGGAAAGTAGGTAGTACACACACACACACACACAAAACGAACTTTGCAGTCTCAAAATAATCTTGCAACCAAAATACGACGCAACGTGAAATAATTCAACTTTTCGGACAATTTTTCTTCTCAATAAGGCTGCGACACGCTCGCCAATAATTTTCTTTAAGTTTACTTGGTGTCCCAGTTCAAGCCAATACTTACTTTTAAATGGATTTTTCCATGAATCCTGATGTGATTTGATTTGAATGGATGCGTAATAAAATTATAAAAAGCTTGCAAGCCGTAGTGCAGCACATTAACGAAATCTCGGTGTAAGTGACAAAGAAACCAAAAGAAATCAAGGACATGCATGAGAGACTCAGAAGGGATGTCAGCCCAACAGCCGCGACAATTCCTGTCTTGATGGCTTCATGAACAATTTCTTTAATGAGATCCATTACTGTTCTGCGGTTTGTATCACGCCGAAAACTGTAGTGTACATAAAGTACCTTCAGAAGAAGAAATTCACAGAGGCCAAGAGAATCTATGCTACGACAAAGAGAAGACCAAACACAAATAATCGAACTACACAGTTGGGACTACGCTGCCACACACCAACCCCCTTCCCCCTACCCCAACCGATTATTGATTATTACTACTCACAATGTACTTATTTATGTTTTATGAATAATATAAGCAGCAAAATAAGGTGGTGTACTGAGTGGAAGAGTGAGTGATATTTGTCTTCTTGATTCTAATTTAAAACGTTTTTTTACTCACTACTCACTCACCAAGTCTGGACACATTGGAAGGGCACTCCCTCCATATGGTGGTGGAGCTTTCAAGTTTCTTTTAGGACAGTAGTGATGTTTATTCTCTTACGTGGAGTGGAGTGTGTAGTAGTCACACTAGACTCACTCACATGTGCAACCTTCGCTTTTCAGCCAGGTTACTACCAGGTAGGTTTATAATAAGTGAATCGGTTGGGAATTAATTATACGGCGAACAACTGAACACAGTGTGCATGCTTTGTTGGCGAGCCTTCTACCCTGACATCGAATCAGGTTGGAAAAGAGCTGCTGGTGGTGTTGGTCAAACCAAAACATGGACTCCATCAGTCAATGAAATCCATAACAATTAGTTTAAGCCATGTAGGAATGTGTAGACTTCCTGACTGGTTGGGGTCCTTGGGAGGGTAAAAGCCAATGAAGGCTGGCTCAAAATCCTCGTTCTCAGTGGATGGCTGGTGCAGATGCATCCACTCCTTGTGACTTATAATACCGAAGGAAAACCAAATAGTTCTTCGAGATTACTATTCTTTTTGCTGTATATCTCTGCTTTTACTGTCTCTGTTTTGCATTTAATGATGAAAACCTTGTTCTATCTGTTTTATCTCATCTTATAGGTCTTTTGTTGTACTGTAGCATCAGAAGACAAGGTCCAGGCAACCGATCGTTGAATAAGGAAAATCAAAAGATATTTGTAGATTTTAATGTAGATTATTGTTAGTAGATAATACAGTCTTTTGATTGGTTGTTTCTCATAGAAAGTTAAGCTTGCATCTGTTTGTGGCTGTGTCCGATCATCCATGAGCTAACTGTATCCGCCTACGCAAAACCTTTCCTCTCATTTTCTCACCACCAATATTGGGGACATAAACATTGACGTTTATTACTGTGTACTAACTTTGGCTAGCAGCCAGCTCTCACCACAGTACTACTTAGTGCTACTGCTCGGTTTGTCAGACACTTTTCGGACAGATAACGGATGACATGAATTAAAGTGTAAATATCTATTGTTGGGATGCGTAAGCTTTTCACAAAGGCTAGTGTGTGTGCAGTTTACCTTCTTCTGTTCGTTTTATTTTACAATGTAACATCATAGCTAATTCTCCTTGTTCATTCATTCCCCGATTCAGATGTGAATTGTATTCCCTCTACTAGTGAGTTTATATGTGTGAAGAAGCTAGATAGAGAGATATGTTCTGTTGTAAACACCCTGCGTTTGTGAAGGTATCATCCACATATCTTCACCATGTCTTCTGAGTAGGATTAAGATCAATATTTTCCCAGCTGTCGATAAATATATCTGCTAGGATAGGGAATACTGGTGATCCACCTCATTGCTACACCTTCTGTTTGACTAAATATTTTTCCGTGGAATTTAAAGATAGTAGATGTGAGACAGCATAAGTGAATTGCTAAAATAATTTTCTTAATAGGCAGCTTTGTCTTATGGCTAAGTTAGGGATGAAGACAGTAGTTAGTTGTGTTTTAACTGCTTCTAAGGCGGGTGGGCATATTGACTGGTTATATTTCTTGAGCTATAGGCCGGGATTCAACTCCGTCTACCGAGAGGTACTATGGCGATGTTTGACTGTGAAGGGAATGGCGAGAAAAAATATATTGCACTGATCAAGGCACTCACTCTACTCGAACTGAAGAGCTTACGGCGAGTTGTCATCTGAAGTGGTGACAACCAGTGCAGTGGTGTCCGTCAGAGGGGATGCCCACTATCCCCATTTCTATTCAATTTTATCACAGATGTACTAATGAACTTAACCCTCGGTGACTTCAGCGACTCAGTGATTGACTTGTCACCACGAGGGAATAATCTTGTTGACTTAGAATATGCAGATGATATAGTCCTGCCTCCTAGGTGAATTATGATTATTGTTATTATTGTTCCCTTGGGTTCCTAGTGGAACATAGGGCTTCAACTGTACGTGTCCACTTGCTTCTGTCTTGTGGTGTACTTTTCACCTGCATCCATGTTAGTCCATACTGTTTCAACTCTTCTTCACACGATCTCTTCCATGTCACCCTTGCACTGACATCCCACTACTCGCCGCTTCCCTTTCGGGTTCCACTCGAGCGTTGGCCTGACGCGCGATGTCACCCAGCGGCCTCCTCAGCCAGTGAGTGTCCAATCCATCTCCACTTTCTCCTGCATATTTGTTGAGCGATTGGTTCTTGTTTTGTTTGTTCCCATAGTTTCTTGTTGGTTCTTGTTCTTTCCGGCCATCTGATCTTGAGTAGTATATAGCGAAGACAGTTGTTGATAAAGGTCTGCAACAGGCTGTTGGAAATGTTCTTCGTGACCCACCAAGTTTCTGATCCGTAC